GAAGGAAGAGATCTACTATTTTACTTCTTAGGAAGAACTAAGTGACTGTCTTCATAGTTAAATGCTGCATACACTGTGTCAGCTCCAGATCTATCTCTAGCTGTTCAAATTGGCCACCAGCTATCTACATGCGTCTCTTTTTCCCTGGAAGATCTGGAATGTCCTAGAGGAACAGGCTGGACAGTATCTGGAATCCTCACACCCAAGCCACTAAGGTTTAAAATGAGAGAGAATAAAAGAGCATGGGCCATGCTATAGAGAGATATTAGCCACTTATATGGCATCAATAGAAAGCAGCCCCACAGAGCCCCAGTCCCACAGAGGCTCTCTTTTTTTAGGTCTTTAGGTATCTAGAATTCTCATGTAATTTCATGAGTCTGGACTTACAAATTGTTTTGTATGAATCGAGTACTTTATCTATAATAGACAAATAAACAAATATTATAATTCCCTCATCTACACTACAATAGACGTCTAGAGCTGCCAATTCATAAATCCAAGCCCTAAAGGCTAAATTTCTCCTGCAGGTTTTCTTACTTGTTTAGTTAATGTCTATTTCATAAAATTGTTTTCCCCTAAAATAATATTGTTAGGGTACCTTCCTGAATTTCTGCTCCAAGTTTTAGCATACTTTCCCCTTACAGAGATAAAAATAAAAATAAAGCTAATCCTCCATCTGTTAGTTTGATCGCCCTGTAGCTGTCCTTTTCCGATCAGATTTTCCTGCCCCTGATCACTTTTATTGTCCATTGCTCATTGCCTTTTAGAGGTGGAATTCGTTTTAAAGCAAGTTTATATGATCCATACTATTTCACTAAACAGTTTCTCTCTCAGAATTAGAACCTTTGTAGCTTTTATCTTAACAGATTATTCTTAAATAAAACATGTACATTTTCCCACTAATGATATCACAGAATTCATTTAAATATAAAACACTATTTAATAAATACAGTTATCATCTTATTTTCAGTGAAAACCTCTGATTTGCTTTTTTATTCTGATATAACCAATGACCCTTTGTTCATTAATTGATTTATTTCTTTCAACACATACAGCTACAATGCGCTATTTAATGTGCTAAATGCTAAGGAAACAATATTCATATGAAATCTGATGGTAAAAACAGATATTATCAAATTATCAGAAATATGATATATAATTTTTAATCATTAAATGATTGGTGCTGAAAGAGCTTAAACAAAGAATCTTGCAGGAGGCAAGTAATGGTATAAACAGAGGAAAAGGGCTTGTGCAAAGACCCTGAGGTAGGAGAAAGTATGGTCTTTTGAAAGAATTAAAGTAAAACGGGTCAGTGCAGCTATAGTAGAGAGGGAGGGAAAACGAGCAAGACAGTTTTGCAGAGATTAATGAGGAAAAAATCACTGAGGGAATCCTGGATTGTACTCTAAGAGCAATAAGAAACTCTTAAAAGATTTTAAGGAGAGAAGTGATAAGACGTAATTAAAATTTTAAAGGATAATTCTGGGTTCTTCAAGGGGAATTAACTTTAGTAGGAAAAAAAAGTAGATACAGGTGACCAATTACAAGATTCTGAAACATGGGATTCTTCAGCAAGCCAAAGGATCAGCTAAAAACAGAATTCAAGATTTTTAACAACTTGTCCAGCATCCAGATTTGACATTCCATGAGATGGTACAAAGACATATTTATGTGACTTTGAAATATTATGAAAATTGCTGTCAGTAAATTTTAAAACCTTCCATTATGTATTTATTAACATGAACTGAAATGTCATCTTTAGAAGATCAGTTTTCCATTAATAAAGCTTGGTTAGCCAAACACTGATAACTAAATTTAAATTTAGAATTTTTAACTATGGCTTATTGCTAATGAGCAAAGGCTAAAGTGTTTAGAAATTGGAAATTCAAATTTTGGGACAATATTTTTTGAAAAACTATGTGTCTTATGCAAGAATACCCAAATTCAACATGCTCATTTCACTTACCCACCAGCAGTGCGTGGCCTAAAATATTGTAGAACACATTACTATCCACCGTGAGGCCCACGGTCCCGAACATGCTGAGTCCTCTACTGAAGGCACCCCACACCGTGCAGCCCTGAATATAGGAATCTGAACAGGAAAGGGCCGGGGAAAAATGAGAAGAGAATCTTAAAGGGCACTCAGATTCTGCTAATCATCTCCAAAGCAAGCTGTATGATAACTAAGAACATTCTCCCACACAATGATGAAATTCAGGAAATGAGGAGTTAGAAGCAGAAACCAAATTTTAAAAATGGGCAACTCAGGCTAAAGTGCTTCAAAGATACCACAGAAAAGCAGGGTAGAATCCAAGATGTTGAAAAAGAAACACATCTGATAAAAAGACAGGATGGCCACACTACGAAAGACTACGTGGCTGTCACAGTTTCCAATTGGCCACCATCTTTGGTATGAACTCTCATCACAACGTGGCGGATAGACAGCAGGTAGAACGGCGTGAAGAGTGAGACTTACAGACCAGTCCTGATTTTTGAAAACTGCATCTGGCATGAGGAGATATAGTCATTATTTCTCGAGCTGTGAAGTAATATTTTTAATTTGCTGGGCAACGATATTTAACTTTTTGGGCCAAGAGGGCCAAAGGTTCTCTCTTTTTTAAATTAAATTTATTTGGGTCACATTGGCAAATAACATTATATAATTTTTAGGTGTACAAGATTGTAATTTGACATAAGCAAAGCCAGAGGTTGACCTGAGGATCTCAACTCTCATATCTGTATATGGTGGGTTTATGAAGCTGAAGGGGAAGTACCCTATATACGGTAAAAGGAACTGACATTTAGCAAAACCATCACACTGGCTCCATGAGCATGTCTTATGACCTCCAAATGAATTTATGTGGACTGGCTCAACAATGAATATATATTTACTGAATATCAACTATATATTTTAGGAATTGGGCATTGTTCTGAAGATATAAAGATGCATAAAACTAAGTAAATTCTGCACTTGTGTATCTTTAGTCTGATGGAGGAAATTTACACTAAAATAATAAAAAATGTATTATTTGGCTAATTAAATTATAAATCCTGAAAAAGAAGTTTTGTATTATTTCTAGTTAATGAGAAATATATCAATGTCAAATGTTTAGAGTATTGGAAAAATTACTTTTGTTTATGGAATAATTTGATTTTTAAATTGGAACTACAGAAAATTCTTGACTATAAATTCTCCGTAGATGCAGGGCCTCCACATTCCCTTTGATATCAGCTCCCCTAGTACCAGATGCTCTCACCTTACTCAACAATAAGGTAAACCATCTGTATCTACTTCTATAGCAAACACTGCCTGTGGCAGACTTTTCCCAACTTCAGATCTCCCCCATAGTATCACTCCATTAGGATATACCTGCCCGTCTGAACAACCGACAAGTACTAATGTGTTTATCGAGATATTATGAGTTAAGTTCGGGAATTGACAAACCTTTAAAAGTGGTGTGCATGCAAAGATTCCAAGACTCTCTAACTCTAATTGCTGGGGTCAATTGGCTACATGGGTCGTGAGGGCCTTCAGGGCATGAAATAATGAAAGATCTCTGCAAAGAATGACAGAAGTTTCTAACCTCTGGGTTAATATGTCCTCCCCTCCTAGGAAAAAAAATTGCATTTTAAAATGGGGGACAATGGGGGACAATGTATTAACTTCACGGTTTTCAAACTTTTTTTTAAAACACTGAATCTATTTTCAAGTAAAACCTAATTTATGAAAATGAATTAAAGTATGGCTACTCTGAAGCAGAGGTTAGAGAAGGCAGATGAAGTAAATGTTTGAGCAAGAGAGGGTTTTGATTATGTTCAATTGATAATTCATATGTGACTGCTATTCTCATTTTTATTGGAAACTGGCCCCCATATCAAATATTCTGCAACATTACAAGCACCAGGAAATGAAAAACCAGAGAGAAGGGCACAAAGATACTGATAGCCTG